TTTAAAAACTGTAAAGCCAACGAGGTAATTTCGGAGTTGGTAGTCACTTTTGGTAAATTCTTCAGATTTTAACTCTATAGACCAAAAATAACATCTAATCTTTCCACAGGATATGAAATTTCTACATTTTCTAACTCTAAAGCTACCAAAGTAAATTTAAAGATATGGGATGAAAATGGGATTGAAAAACTTGAAACCACTTCCCAGAGATTGTCTTGAACATCTCTGGACACTTCTGTGTGTGCACTGGTCCTCAGCTTTTCTCCTCCACCCCACCCCTTCACAGATAGCTCTATGGAATCCATACTAGAGAGAACCTAACGTTAGGAGGCTCTGGAGCTCTGTAAATGGAAACCATGAACCACAGATTCCCTTGTTTAGTGACTGCCCTCCCGTGATTATGTATCGGAATGCAGAAATGACAAGCTTCACACTGCAGACCAGACTGCCAGATGTACTCGCAGCTGAGCAGAGGCTGAGGGGATTTGGCTGCCTTGGGTATTCCAACAGAGACACCAAGGCATGAGGAGAGGAAGGGCCAAGGTTTTTAAGTCACCTTACGTTGCATCGGCAAACAGCTCTCTTCCAATACTACAGCAGCAGATGCAGAATCCTGTGTACCAAAACACCTGTGAAAGTGGGGAAAAGATAACAGGGAGGGGCTGACAAAGAACAAAGTAAGAAGTGGGCCGTACCTGGTAGCAAAGTGAGGGGTAGTTATGAGAATGCAGGAAGTGGTAACTTGAAAGAAAGGAGAGAGGGATTAGGATTAATAAGTCTTAGAGAAAAAAGTACAGAGAAAATTTGCACCTCAGAATTGTAACCCACCATTACCTATGGTAACCCTATTTATAAAGAGCCATTAAAAAAATAAACCTTTAAAAAATGTTTTAAAATCAGATCTATAAGTGAAAATCTTAACTTTGAAAGTAGAGTCCTGGTAAATACTAAAGATGTACAGAAGCATTGCTCTTCATACACAGCAGGAGTTGGGTCGAGTAATTACCAACGTCTTTGCAATTAGTTATTACGTTTGAGGAGAATTTTTTCTGGGCTATTTACATTTATCTTGGCAGTGACACTTTTCCCCAGATGATTAAATCAGAAGAGTGTTCTTTAAACTGGAAATAGGGGGGTTTAAGTAACTTTGAAATTTCAAAGACATCTTAATTTTAAAGAATTCACATTATTACTACGTGAGGTTCCTAATAGAATATGTATTTTAGTCTGCAATTACTGCCATTAAGGAGTTTAAAAAAAATCTTTCTTTTCATCACTCAGTGTGATTTTGCATATCCTGCTGGTGCTTTTTATATGCCAAACACTAAGCATTTTACATATACTAGGTCATTTAATCCCCGCATTAACCTTTTACGGTGAGGCCTGTTATCCCCATTTTATAAACAGTTAACTAAAACAGAGAGATGAAGAGAGTTGTCCAAGCTCACATGGCTAGTGAGTGGAGAAAAGCAGATTGAAACCCTGGCAGTCTGGCTTCTGAGTCTTAATTTTAACTTCAACCATCATGCTGTGTTGTTAATCTTACCTCCTGTGTCTTAAAGATTGTTTACTAGGCTGTGTATCCTTCCCTCCTTGTGTTTGTTGGCATACTAAGTCAGTAGTTATCTGTTTAAATGAAGTTATGGAAAGTAGTAATTGAGTTAAGTAGTTCTTTATAACTATCCCATTCAAGAGTGGGTTGACATGTTTCAATTACCAGAATTAGTTTCCATAATATAAAGCTAACATTGTGTTCAATCTGTGTGTGTGAGAAATTGCTGTGTTGGATTCTATTTAAGAGTGACATCTTTGCCAGTCTTTAGCTTTGTTATTTTGAGCACATCTCACCATCTCTTTGTCTTTCATGTATCTGTAAATATGAGAAAACTGAAGGCATACAGAGGTTTAAAAGAACTAGAATGAGAAATGCAAAGAGAATCCAAAGTATTGTATAGTAAAAACCAAGATTCCCTTCCAGGCACTTGTAAGCAAGCGTATATGTTACGAGTGGTAAAAAGCATGCATAAATATCTACTAGGAAAGGTATGATGTATTTTGTGTGTGGTAAAAGCAGTACAAAATAAATTCTATTTAGAGAAGCTTTATGTAGAAGATTACATTGCTCTAACCCTGAAACATAGCAGTAGACTTTTATTCATAATAGCCTGAGGGCGTGGGAGCGGGGAATACAGGAGGGGTGTAGAATGCTAAGAAATTTTGTTCAGTTGCTAATATAACGTAAAGAGATTAAATGTCAGCTATGTTCTATTTTTAACACCAAATTTAGATTTTTACCATTTTTATACTCAGCCAGTACTTCTGCTTTCACTTTTGCTGAGAGGGCATCATTGTAGCATGTCATGGATGAAAGGGCAGCTTTTGAGAGCTGAGTGTGTGGGTTCAAATCCTGCTTGCAGCACTTAGAGCTTGGGTGACCTTTGGCAAGTTATTTAAATGCTGTAAACCTCAGTTTCCTCACTCGTAAAAGGGTAACGATAGTTTCTGCTATGTAGATTTATTGTGAGGATGCCTTAAGGTAATCGTGAAGTATCGATACTTAACCCAGTGCCTGGCTAGCGCTTAATCAGTGCCCTTCACATTTCCACGCCTGTGCTTGAGTAACACGGTGCTGGCAGCCCTGCAGTTTCTGGGAGGCTATGAGAGAAGGCTCTGTAGGGCTGACAGCACCAGCATCATCTGGGAGTGGCCCCACTGCTGAATGACGCAGGTGTGAGGCCCAGGAAGTGGTTTGAACAAGCCTTCCAGTGTGTGTACACGTTAAATGTTGAAATCCACTAGTGATGCTTTTTGTTGAAGAGTAAGGCTTCTGTAGTCAGGCTGTCTGGGCTCAAATGTTGGATTTGCCATTGATAGCTGTGTATTCTTGGGCAGCTTAACCTTTTCTGCCTCTGTTTTTTCATTTGTAAAACAGCACTAGCAGTTGTAGCTCCCTTATTGGATGGTTGTGAGGATTACGAGTTAGTACACATAAAGCACTTAGAGTCCAGTTTGGCACAGAGAGAGCTCTCGGTAAACGTGAGCTCTGCTGTGATATTTACGATGACCACTATATTCGTTTCCCATTGCTGCTGTCACAACTACGTAACAGTGACTTAAAAATACACATTGATTATCTTAAGGTTCTGAAGGTCAGAAGTCCAAAATGGGTCTCACTGGGCTAAAATCAGGGTGTCAGGACTGCACTCCTTTCAGGAGGCTCTAGGGGAGAATCCGTTTTCTTGCCTTTCCAGACTCCAGAGGATGCCAAGTGTCCTGGCCCTTGTCCCGCTCACATCTTCAAAGCCAGCAGTGGTGGCTCGAGTCTTTTCTTACTTTACATCACTCTGGCACTGACTCTTTTGCCCCCTCTTTTACTTTTAGGGACCCTTGTGTTGATATTAGGCCAACCCAGATAAGTCAGGATAATCTCTTATTTTAAGGTCAGCTGACTTCCAGCCTGATTCCATCAGCAACCTTAATTCCCCTTTGCCATGTAACCCAGCCTATTCACAAGTCTGGGGATTAGGCTTTGGACGTTTTAGGGGACCATTATTCTGCTTCCCACACTACCAGCTTCTGATGGATGATACTCAGTACACACCAGCATTGGACTGCTCTTCTCTTGTAAGCTTGCTTTTCCACTCTCTACCTTTCTTCAGCCTTTTCTACCTCTTATTTATTCCCTAATCTGCATCAGTTTACATCCTTTGCCTCATACTCAGTTGAGGAAATAGAAGCCATCGGATGAGCACTTGCGCATCTCTTATCCACCACATCCACATACTTACCTGAATATATCAGTCTTCTCCTTTGCCTCTACTACAGTGAAGAGACTGTCTATCTTTCTCTTCTTAAAATCCTGGCATTTCTCATTGCCTGCCTCCCCATCCCCGGATTTTTAGATTTATATGGACAGTGTGTAGGATCTCCCATCTTTAAAAAGCCCTCCTCTGAATCTGCATTTCTCCTCTGATTTCTCCATCTCCCATTTACACTTCAGCTCCATCTCAGAATGCCAGTTTCAACACCTAGTTGTTCAAGCAGAAACCTGGAAATCGTCCTGGAAGGTAGCATCTCAGCCTTCCATCTCCAGTCCACAGGTGACTGCGTCTGCCTCTCAAATGTCACCTCAGCTGCCTCCCAACCCAGGCCACTGCCTCTGAACTGTGTCCCCACCGCCTACTTGTGCTCCCTGGACTCCTTCCTCCATTCCACAAATGAAAAATGGAACTGGATGTGTGTCACATCTTGCTTCCCCTTACAAACTTTGACTTTCTGTTGCTTTCAGGATAAAACTTAAAAACAAAAAAAAACTTTAACCTCATCTGGCTGGTGTCACTCCAGCCTCATTGCTCATCTCCCTCACTCAGTGTGCTCCAACCACGGTCTTGTAGTTTGTCAGATGTGCCAGGTATTGTGCTTTGTGGCCTCCCCATGTGCCTAGACTCATACCCTCTCCTGTCTTTGCTTCCCCACCCCACTCTGCTTATCCATCTTCATGATTCATTCTAAGCTGAGGAAGACAGAACTAATTTTTTTCAGGACCATTTAATTTAGTTCAGAGGTTTTCTGCTGAAGAATTTATTGATCAAATTATCACTATAATAATTGACATGCTAGACATCATGAGAACCTCTTTAAAAAAAAAGATTAATTTCCATCTTGCACATCTTACTGCAGACATAGCTGTGATTATAATGAAGAGAAAATGTAGCTGTAATCCTTTTTCACTTCTGGACTACTTAATAAGAGTTTATGGGTACCAGTTAGAAAATGGTGCTCCCTGCTATGTATATACTGCCTGGGGTGTATGTCCCAGGTGTCCTTGCCAAACCTACTTCATCAGATGCATAATGATCTAGCTGTTCATGGATGAGAAGAGAAAGTGGTGGCATGATTATTTATGTATCATAAAACATGACTTTCTCATTATTTTTATAGTGACTCTTCTTGATTACTTGACACTTTATTAATATTTCTCTATGTATCTTATGTTGCAGACTATTCAGACTATGAAGACAGTTCCCTAGAATTTTTGGAAAGGTGCTCTTCTCCACTAACTCGATCTTCTGGGAGTTCTCTGGCTCTACGAAGCATGTTTACGGAGAAAAATACAACATATCAGTACCCAAGGGCAATTTTGTCAGTTGATCTTAGTGGTGAAAGTATGTGTAACCATGTAATGCTTAAAACAAGTCTTAAGATTCTTAAATGTGGAACTGAAAATAAAACATACTTTAATGAGGCCTATCTGAGCAGGGCACACAATTTAAAAAGTTATTCCATGAACTAATATGAAAATCTCAACATTAGAAATTTGAGCTACTTTTTAATTTATATAAAGTAAAATTGGCATTTATACTTAACTGTAGGACAGGTAGTAAGGAAACAATTAGTGTCTACTGTGTACTGGTCTTCTGCAGGTGTTTTTACATGTATTTTCATATTCTTCACTACCAGCTTATAAAGTAGATATTGTTACCCACACTACATAAACAAGCAGAGGCTTATGGGTTAAGTAACTTATGGGGCTAGTTAGCGTTAGAATTAAAACTCATACGAAGGTCTATCTTAACTCCTAAGGTAATGCTTTTTCTGCCAGATATTTATCACAGTCTTAAAAATGCACTTTGAATTCCTGATCACAGATATGTCTGTAACCAAAAGTCTGGAAATGTGATCAGATCAGTGATGTGAACACATTCAGGTATTAAGCACGTAGACAGAAGGCCATGTTAGGTGGTGACACGAGCCCTGGAGTTGGAATCTCTCAGGTTTTCCTGTAAGTCCAGTCCTGACAGTGGAAGGTGTTGAGGACTCTTACCTGCCAGTGTTCTAAGCAATGGGAAGAGGAACTCTCCCAACTGCAGATATTGATGGCTTGAGACCAGAGGTCTAGCACAGTAGGAACCAAAGTCAAGGAGTGAAGAGTAAGGGATGGGGGTTCGTCCTATGTAAAATCCCAGGGATATTTATGGGGAGTGCCCTGTCTTTTCCTTAAGTGCCCTACATGGCAGATGCCAGGTCATGTGTTTTCTCTGGCACTGTTACTGCCTATTCTCTTCCAGGCCTAACTCCCCTCTAGCTCACTGTGGAGAAAAGCATATTCTTCCCTTTCCCCTAAAATAAGCACATAGCACTTTTGAGATTTTAAAATCTCAAATCTAAAAAAAAAAAAATTGGGATTAAGAAAAAGTTCTGTTCCCTTTTCTAACAAATACAAGTCCCCTTTTCCCTTTTGGGCCAGTGGTTCTTAACCTCAGGTGTACATTAGATTCATTGGTGTGATGCTAAAATATATGATATCAGGTCCTTCAGCGGAGCACAAATCTGGGATTTCTCGGAGGGTGGGTCCTGGCAAGACAGCCCCAGTAGCCAGGGTTGAAAATCACATAACACCCATACTGTGAGCCATCAAGGTCTCAAAATTGCCTTTTTATACAGAGTGATGGAGAGTGGGAGATAATATCTGGATGACCGGTGTTGCTGGAACTAGAACACTTGAGAGAGGGCTGGGAAGAGTGTCATGAATGTGTACCCTCAGTCCCTCTGTCTTTCCCCTGCCCTTCACGTGTTCAAGCGTTGAGCTCTGAGAAGAAAACTGGAGAGGTTCTCAAATGTTACTGTGCATAAGAGCCACCTGGAGAGCTTCTTAAAACACAGTTCTGGGTCTTACCCATAGTATTTCTGATTTCTGACAAGCTCCCAGGTGATGCTGATGTGGAAACCACACTTTGAGAATACTGTCTGGGGAAACAGCAATGTCAGTTCAAGGGGCAGCAGTTATAAGAGAACAGTGTTCTGTGGCCACTCGGTTGGAGCTGTTGTCCAGGTGGCCATTTCAGTGTGAGAAAGAACTTGTACTTGCTTTTCTTATTTAACTTTCAACCCAGTGGCCCATTTACTTAGCCTCCAGAATTCAGCCAAACACTGCGTTGATGCTTGTGAGTTAGTCGAACTGGATTTTCTGGCCAGTTTTTTAAATTTGCCTTCTGGCACCGTAAAGCCTGGCTGTGTTGGCCATACAAGCCTATGTGAGATATACACTAATTCCTTTCAATGATAGTAGTTTTTAAATTAAATTCATTGCTAACCCTGTTATGATTGCCATTCATTGAATACCACATACGTGCTGCAGCGGTGTTTGAAACTGTTCATCCATGTTCTAGTCTGCCATTTTGAAACATGAACTTGTATTCAAGAAAGCCCAAGAGAAAATACAAATTTTGGATTTAAGTTAGCAAGATTATGAATAAATGAAATTTATTCTTCATGTTCTCAAAACTACCCATATTGTTAATATTAGAAAGATTTTATAATATCTAATTGATTTACTTTTGGTTCCTTGAATGTTTTTTTGTATTTCTGTACCATTGTCTCATTTCTACTGACCTTACTCTCTCCAAGATGTCCTACAATCCTGAAGAGAAGAAAACATTTATTTTTCTAGAAAACATTAACTTTTTATAAATCAGAAACGAAACATTCAAAAACATTGAGTTGGGGAAAAAAATAAGCACGATTAGAAGCTGATAAGGAAAACACTAAGTCATATGAAATATTTAAAATATAAATTGCATGAATTATTTAGTTTGAATTCAGGCAACTTCCACCTGGTCTGATTAAGTCTGAAAAATTTTTCTCTATATAACGACTCCCTCCTTCCCTCTTCAGAAACATTCTGGAGTGGCTATCATATGTATCAGGCTTCATCGTAAGCACTGACTACAGAGCATTCAGCAATGCAATGGACTCTTGATTGCCCTCATGGACTCTTGACATTCTAGAAAGGGGAGATGAAAGCAGCAGGTGAAGGAATGGTTGAGAACGTGACTGCAGGTTAGGGTGGTAAGGTAGGGAGGAGCCAGCTCTGCTCTCTGTTCTGAGGAGCAGCCTCCATTCCAGGAGCCTGTGAGCAGTGGTGAGGTCTTGTGTCACGTGCCACGTGATGACTCAGTTTCCCCAACATTTCTCCACCCACACTCCGGCAAACCTTTAGTGCCCTGTCATCATTTCTTTCCCTTTGTCATGATTAAACATTTCCTTATATTTGCCTTGATATTTTTTTTCCTCAATAGCCTGAGCTAAATGATAGTCTTTGACTCAACGCTGTTATAAGTACAACCTAAAGCCTAGGATGTAAATAGAGTTGTATATAGTGGTCATCAATATAACCTAACTTCTAGGGTATACTTATTTATTTTTCTAAAGATTTTTATCAAAATGAAATTTAAAACATTTTAAAATTCCTTAGGGAACTCATAATCCCAGTTTAAGAAATGCTGAAATCATTAAGAGCACAGGTTGTAGAGTCGGGCAGTCCTGGTGTGCAGTCGGCTTTACCACTAGCTGGCTGCATTACCGAGCAAGTCATGTCATATTTAAAGTGCTTCGGGTGGTACCTGGTGTGTATTAAGTGCAGTGGTAGTTGAAGATACTGTTACTGTTAAGATTCACAGTATTGCTGCTAGGACCCTAGGCAAGCTCCTTCACCTCTCTGAAGTGCTATGTAGCTGTATGGTGCAAATAATGAACCCTGTTCTTTTTACAAGCCGTTGTTGTGAGGATCAGAAGGAATAATGTTTGTGAAAGCATTTGAAAACTGCACATTTTAATTGTTAATATCAACCTTAGCCCTAACCTCTGTAAGCACCTGGACTAAGGGATACTTTCTGAGTTACTTGTAATGGTGTTAACATTAAGATGTAAAACAATCATAGTTGCCTAAGCTTCAAAAATCATTTGTTTCTTTGTCTAGAGACAAATGCTGTATTCCCATTCGTCTGCCCTCCCTTTCTAAATACTTAATAGCTTATAATCACTTCCCATAGTGCCTTTCTTTCTAGAAAATGACGTAAAAATGAAAAAAAAATGCTGAGTGTGCTTTTATGTATATTCTAGACTTATCGGATGTGGATTTCCTAGATGATTCTTCAACGGAGAGTTTGCTCCTAAGTGGGGATGAGTACAATCAGGACTTTGATTCAACCAATTTTGAGGAATCTCAAGATGAAGATGATGCGCTTAATGAAATTGTGCGATGCATTTGTGAAATGGACGAGGAGAATGGCTTCATGATTCAGGTGACCTGCCTTCCCTTCAGCACTGAATGAGTTAGTTCAGGTGCTCAGCACATTCGTCGGGGCATCTGTGTGTTCTCTTTTTCCTCACCGTCCTTTTGAAGATGGAGGCTTCTAGCTTAGCATCAAGTTTAAAGTACCAGTTGTAATGATTGGCAGATCGCTTCTTCAGATGAAGTAGACTGTTTTCTTATCTGAGGCTCTCTCTCCGGGGTGTTTCTTTTGAGGTCTTCTAGCTGAAATTCTTTTCAAGAGCCATTAAGGTGGCTTAGCATCCACACTGAAGGGTAGACCATAGCCATCCTTTTCCTGCTGGTCTGGATCCTGTTGTTTAATACTTCATGGTATATAGTCACCCTTCAAAGGGTAGAAAAGTTTCCACAGTACTGAAGACTAAAGGAAAGCTTTGTTGCAAGGATTACCATTACAAATACCCTCTCCCTGTAGAAAAGGTATCTTTAAGAAAAAAGGAAAGCATAACCCATATTTTGTGGTTACATTTTGAAGATTCGGAGATGTTAGTTATAGAAACGAAGAAAAAGTAATCCTCTTTTTTCCCCCTTTTCAGTGGTTTTCTCAATAAGGGAACTACAAATTTATAGGTTCACCACACAGGTAGTACTTTAAGAGGTTGTTGCCTAACGCACTGCTACAAAGTCACCTATTTTGTTTTTAAAATTTCTGCACTTCAATAAGCTATTTTTAAGAGTTCTAAGGATGTGTGAAATAGATGGGAGAAATAATCTTATGCCTTTTTTTATGATTAAGCCAGTTTATCAAAGCACATTTTAATGGGTGCAGCGAGAGGAAGTGCTTGAAATAGCTGACTGTTTCAGAAGTGAAATTTCTCGTAAGTCATCACTTGCTTTTGTTACGTGGATTAAGAATTGAACTGGTGGCAGCTGCCGCAGCCGCTGCCGCAGCAAGATTCAGCCAGCTAGTTGAAGAGAAGGGGGTCTGTCTTGATTTCTAGCGAGTAAAGCACGGTTGTTTCCCGGCAGTGTGAAGAGTGCCTGTGCTGGCAGCACAGCGTGTGCATGGGGCTGCTGGAGGAGAGCATCCCGGAGCAGTACCTCTGCTACATCTGCCGGGACCCTCCAGGTAAGCTTCGGTCCCTGTGCTCATCGCAAGGTGTCTGGATGTCTTGTTACGTACAGGTTCCATTGTACGTCAGCTGACTGAGACACCATGACCTCTGTGTCAGCTAGACTCCGCTTCCATGTTAAAATTTAAAATTCACTGTTCGTTATAGTTTCATTTTCTGTATTAATTATTTAGGCAAAAGCATTAGCATAAATTCCTCAGCATAAGTAACTACCTTACTGGAAGGAGAGGGTTGTGGCTTTTACCTGAAAAGAACTAGCTCCTTAATCTATTGATTTCTAAATAGGTTAACATATGGCTATTTGAACGGACTCAGAGTCTGAACTCACGCTCCTCCTGACGTGGTTTTGAACGAGTGTCTGATAGTGCAGCAAATGAACCTAACGTCAGAGCAGATGGGATGTCCAGTTATCACGCCCAAGTCCTTTAGTTTACTGACGAGGCAGCTAGGGCACAGAATGTCGCATGCCTCGTGCACAAGGATGGTGCTAGACTGGCTGCACCGAGAGGAAGACCTGTGCCTTTGGGCTCCCTGTCCACTAGGTGCCTTCTTCCACGCAGAGGCTCTCCGAGCAGCAGTGTTCTGCATGTCGTGTGCACTTCATCTCCGAGGCAGAACCCATCTAGACATCTCAAATGAAAGGCTGCTGCCTTGTTCTGTCTATCAGAAATAATAATAATAATAACATTAAGAAGCAGGAGAGTTATCCAGACCTACATGAAGGTAGGCATTTGTTCATTCATTCATCCAGCAGCATTTATCAGATGCCTTTTATTTGCCAAAATCTGTGGTGAGAGGTAAGGTGATTGATTCTAACCACACCTTCCTCTCTCTCACAGCATAGTAGGGGACACAGACATAGAAGCAACTAATTGTAATAGGAAATAATTACTATCGGTGGTGAAGATATAGGATTATATTGGATTCTGTGAGCTCTTAGATGTGAGGGAGGGGTCCTTAGTCAGTTAACTGGAACTCTTTGTTTCGCCCAGTTCAAAACAAATGTTAGTGAGAGAAACAGGTACCCCTGTCTAGTTTCTATCGAGCCCTTTTGGCCTTTTTAGAAAACAGATGACATAAAACAGAGACATAAAAAATGGAAAGCAACACACTCAAGGTTCCTCTGCAGGTGTGACCTGCCACTGACCACATCCTTCATGGAGTTTGTCCTGCTTACCGGGCAGGACATCTGAAGGTGGGAGGAGCTCTCACAGTGCCAACTCCTCGACGCACTGTCTGACTCGTCTTTCGAATTTGTTCTTAGTCCTAGAGCTCACCTTGTTCACTGAGTGATGTTAATCGGATAGCAGTTGAAGGGAAATCTGAATAAGTGGAATCCTTTGTCACTTTAATGTCAACTTTATCTACAGGTCAGAGATGGAGCGCAAAATACCGTTATGATAAGGATTGGTTGAATAATGGGAGAATGTGTGGGTTATCATTTTTAAAAGAAAACTACTCTCATCTCAATGCCAAGAAGATAGTTTCCACACACCACCTGCTTGCTGATGTCTATGGCGTTACGGAAGTCCTGCATGGGTTACAGCTGAAGATCGGAATCCTAAAGTAAGTGAAGGGCGGCGAAGGGAGGGGCATACTTTAGTGTGAATTTTAATTTAAACTAAATCAGTTGGCTTTTTGCAGGTTCAGATTAGCAGCTTGGAAGACAGAATAGATATTTGAACAAATTTTAACTTTAAAAAAAAGGAAAGGTTAGTAACTTTTTGGATGAATAGCTCCTTCATGCCTATTGTCCTGGAATAGAGAAGCGTGGGTGAATAACAACGGCGTCTAGTATTTCAGCAAATGTTAGTCCCGTCACACTGTTTTGTGGGCTCACCTTGTGCACAGAAGTACAGTTGCTGTGGTGAACCGTGTGGTGTGTGTCCTCCTTCAGGAATGCTGTCACGATGAAATAGATGCAAAGGTATATTTTTAAATTACCTTAAGATTGGCTTTGAAGGGAGCCAACAGGTCATGTAATCCATTCGTCTCCTGTGCACCAAATATGTTATAGTCATCCCGGGCAATTTCTCCTTAAAAACAAAGCAAAACAGAAAAAACACTGAGCCTCCATACATATCAGAATGTTCTTGAAGTCCTTGTTTTCAGTTCTTCCTAATACCTCCCTAGAATTTCTCTTTAAAAGTATACATATATTATATAAAACAGGGTGATTCACTGGTTCTTCACAAGATTTTCTTTATTTGGCTCACTTGCCTGGGCCAGAAACGTGCCCCTTCCCTTCCTTCCATCTCCGTCCCGCCCCTCCCGCAGTGGCGAGGCCCACTGAGTACTCTGTCCCTGTGGTTCCTTACCGTCCCGTCTCTCTCCTCACCAAGACTGTCTGAGCGGGCTGTTCTTCTCACGTGAACAGTTGCCATACCTTGTAAATTCCTGGTGGCTCCAGTCTTGTGCTCTTTCAGTTCATCCTTCATACTGTTGCCAATGTGATCTAGTAAAAGATAAGGAGGAGTTTGTCTCTTTGGAGCTTAATATACCATCGTGTCTTCCTGGTGCCCAATGCGAAGAGTGCAGGCTCGTTCAGCATGCACTCTGAATCCTTCCACGATGCGTATTCTCTCTGTCATTTTGTTGTCATGTCTTCCCTCTCCTGATTTTTCCCCCAAATGTGCCAGCTATACCAAACCATAATCGCTGAATGAAGCATGCTTTTACATAGCTCCAGGCCTTTACTCACAGCCAGAATAACCTTCTACCATTAGTCCTTCTAGCAAATGCTTTTTCATGATTACCTTCCCAACTAGAGCTGATCGCATCCTTGGCAGACTCCATGCGTACTGATTTCAGGCACTTTGGTGCACCTTGTTTATGTCTGCCTCCCCTTACTAAGCCATGGGTTCCTTGAAGGTAGGGCTTGTGTCTTATTTATCGTTTTATTCCTAGAGGTTAGTGGAGGGATAAGTACTCAGTAATTGTTGAATGGAATTTGCTTTGGTTGTATGTCATAAACCTGAATATGGATTTCTTTATAAAAAGGCCATGCAAATGCTAAAACTCAAAGGAGAAACTAAATTATTAAGCTAAGCTTTTTTTTTAAAACCTGGTTGTCCTTGACATCAATATGAATTTCTGTACATTCATAATTTCTCTAAGGATTTCAACTGGACAAATTTTGCCTCATGCCTATAGGCTCTTTTTATGTTAATATTTCTAATAATAATAGTTATTTTCACTAGCTACTATTTATTGGAAGTCTACTACAAAACCTGAAATTGGTGGTTTCATGTGCTATTTCATTTAATCCTTACAATAAAGTTCTTACTTTGTTTGATAGATGGGTAGTCAAAGATAGAGTTTCTGTAACTTGTCCAAACTCCTCCTCTAAGGCACAGCAGGATTCAACACATTGGACTATTGAATTACAAATCTAGCTTTCCTTCTACTATGCCCTTTACTGTTGAAGAATTGTTGTATTTTCTGGCTATTAAACTATTAGGAGTTCAAAAGATAAAATTTATAATTTCAGAAACAAGCCTTATTATTAGAAAGAAAACTAATTTGTCTCCTGGTATTTATCTAATTTGGAAATTATCAGTTCACAAACATTATTGAGCCTTCTCAAAGGTTTATGCCTCCAGAATATCCTCCTTTTACTTACTACAGAATATGATGAATGGATTCCTCTTTTGCTTACTACAGAATTTTAATTACTACAGAATTAACTATGCGATATCATGCTCACATGTTTAGTGAGGATGGGGGAAAAGGGATATTATCATGGACTGTTAGTGAGCATGTAATTAGTACAGCCTCTTCGGAGGCCACTTTGGCAGTACCTGTCAGAATTAAAATGTGCATACATTTTCTAGGAATTTCATATCTAGAAATTTATCTGACTGATAAATTCGCACTTGTGTGCAGAGGTGCAAACACACACACGTGTATTGGCAGGGAACTGGTTGGTGAGACTAAACTGCAGCACATTAATACTGTTCAGCTACTAGAGTGAAAGTAAGGGAAAATCTCTATGTACTGACAAGGCAAATGCCCTTATGTGTTATATATGAAGAAGGCAAATTGTATGAGAGCCCCATTTGTGTACAAAGAAAAAGTGTGTGCTTACCCACTTAAAAAATAATTTTATATGTACAGAAAAAGTGTGGAAGATTATACTTCAGTTATCTATGATTGCCATGGCAGGGAGGTTTTTACTTTGTACACATTTATAATCTGAATTTTTTGTCATGAGGAAGTATCGCTTTTTGATTGACTAAAGATGTTAAAATATGCTCATGTAAAAGTTTTTCATGTTGTACAGTTTTAAAAAATACAGTGAAAAATGAGTAAAAGAAGTGCATATATCAGATGATGATGTGAACTGTCACAAAAGTACATTCATTATTGCTTTTCCACCTGAGTTTTATTTCTGTAAAATTATGAAAATGTACATTTTGGATGAAATTCTGGGGCAGGTTAACCTAGAAAGTACCTTTACTTTTGTCTTGAGTTCCTGACCTCCTGCTAACCTTGTTTGCTTGGCGGTGCTCTAGGTCTTCAATAGAGAGGTGGGGATCGGTCCACCTAAGTCAGTACACTGAACATACAAAAGGCATGGATAACTGAGGGTTAACTATGTAATTGTACATTCTGAAATTTATTGTGGCATTATACTTGTTACTGGACTTTTTTTTTCTGAACTGCTGTTTCTCCAACTTTATTTTAAGGAATAAACATCATCCTGACCTTCGTCTCTGGGCTTGTTCTGGGAAGAGGAAAGATCAAGTAATTGCTGGGGTAGAAAAAAAACTAATGGTGCAAGACACAGTTAATGTGGAAGAAAAGAAGTATCATGTACAGAACCATAAGGAACCACCTCGTTTGCCCCTAAAAGTGGAGGGAACTTATATAACAAGTGAACACAGCTACCAAAAGCCACAAAGTTTTGGTCAAGACTGCAAAACTCTCGCAGACCCTGGGAGCTCAGATGATGATGATGTTAGTAGTTTTGAAGAAGAACAGGAATTTCACATGAGAGAGAAAAACCGTTTACAATACCCAGTAAAAGAAGATGGAAAGCCCAGAAAGGTATAACTAGTTCATTTGTCTTTGCTTAGAAATACGATAGAACAAAGGAAAATTTTGTGAAATAAAACATCCTGAGATTCCAGATTTTACTTACATTTCCAAGTTCACAAGTACCTTGTTAGGGTAAAGACATTTTTTGCTTTCGCTACAGGAAAACACTGGCCATTTGAACATTTAATTATCCCCTAATTCAGGAATGTAGTAATTCATTAAACTTTTGCCTTAACAAAAGTTTCAAGTTTATAAGTACACTTAGATGCCTCTAAAAACCATGAGCCAAATTTTTTTCCAAATGAGAATGTCTACGTGTGAAAACATGAAAGTGCATGTGGGTGTGTATATATTAATATAATTTGTGTTCCTTTTGTATGTGTTTTAGATAAAAAGTGGCACTTTTTATCTAAAAAATCATCTTTTTAAAAATTACAGCATATTTGTATATGCATATCAATCACATTATGCACTAAGTTGAATTCTTATAGCTCTGTGTACATTGAATATTTGTAAACTTATTTCTTGTTCACAACTTAGAGATGTCATGCCTTCATTTTTAATTGATTTTTCAATTAGCAATACTGCTTTAAAATTAGTTCTTTATTTTTCTGGCCTCTTTTATCAAGTAAGTTCTATAAATAAATACTTAACTGAATTTGAAAAGCTTATAGTACCCTAAATTTTGTGGTAAATTATTTTGTCAAATTAATATCCCTCTTATGAAATGAGTTATCGCTGGTGAAACTGAGGTCAGATTTTGTGTGTGTGTTAAGCAGTCTGCACTTTTTAAGTTTTTAAGGGATTTTTCTCTTCCCCTCACCTCATTGATTTAGCTGCAATAATAAAGTCCAGTCTGCAGTTAATTATGCTTTATACTAGCCTTTGCCAACTATCTTAATTTTTTTCCATCATTGCTTTTTGCCTTCACTCCACTTGTGACACGGCTTAGATTAACTGAGGAAGGGGTCAGTCTAAATTAGCTGGGCTTTCTAGTTACAGAATATAATTAGCTCCTTCATTTTTTCAGCAGGTTTTATTGAAGGCCTTCTACCCTGTGTAGCACTCTGCTAGGCATTGTGAAGAGACATAGCAGGCATGTCTGCTTTTCAGGACCATCAGATGTAATTTAGTTATGTGCTAGTACTTCCTTTACGAATATTCTGGGAGTCAGGTTGGATTTTACCTATCATTGTGGGTAGTGATGTTTTTAATGCATCTTTCCCTTTATGACATTACATTTCATCCAATTCTTTGTTTTTTCTGTTGGCTCTTTGGAGAAGAATTCAGCTGAAAGGAATACAGTATTTGTTTATAATGATAAAAAGGGCACTGAAGACCCGGGAGACTCACATCTTCAGTGGCAACTCAATCTCCTTACACACATAGAGAATGTGCAGAATGAAGTCACCAGCAGGATGGACCTGATAGAAAAAGAAGTTGATGGTAATTTAAGAAAGAATTGAAATACAATTGCTGTAGTCTGTAAAGTGTGTTTATTGTACTTTTGAATAATTTAATTGAAGTTATTTGAAGTTTTTAAAATTATGGGACAAAAACTACAGATGCTGTCCAGGCTGATGGAGCTTTGCTGCTCCCTTTACATTGTATTTAACACATCTGGCATTTAGGGTCTTTTAGTCTCAAGACAATATGACTGGATATTTTAGGGATTTTGTTTTTTAAGATGGATATTTATTAAATATTGCCTACCTGCCAGGCTCAGTATATACCATATGGAATATTTATTATTTAATGAAAAACAATAATATTATTCACTGAATAATATTATTCAATAAATTATTATTCAATAAATAATATTCAGTGAATATTTTCATTGAACTGTGTTTTTTTTTGGAAGTCAGCATAAGGACTTTAAGCATATTTGAAATGTGGGGGAAAACATTTTGTTTTCACTTTGGACAGTGTTTGTTAAGTGAAATTAATAACAAAGAAGTCCTGCAAGTTTAAGTAGATAAAGCTTAAGTTTGCATACACATTTTCAAATGTTTTCTTTTATATTTAAAAATTTTATTGCACCGGAGCCCTAAGGAGTGGACAGGAAAAATGTTATCCCCATTTTATAGTTGAGAAAATAGAGTACTTTAGATTACTCAATTCCTAATCTAGTGTTTTCCTGTGCTTTTTGACTGCATTTTTTTAACCTCATAGATTGTATCTCCTGCCCACCCCCACCCCTTTTTTTATTTGCGAAAGTATGTGCTACTTTCATCCCCCAGTAAGTTAGAGTTTCTACTGCTTCGTTTTTCCCTGTGAAAAGAAGAAATGGAAACCCATTTCAGAAGCATCTTCTGTTTGGTTATAAGCCAGTTGTAGAGTTAGTTTAGTTAGTTTTAAGTAGATTTTTTTAATATATAAATTTATTTTATTTATTTATTTTGGCTGCGTTGGGTCTTCATTGCTGTGCGCAGGCTTTCTCTAGTTGAGGGGAGTGGGGGCTGCTCTTTGTTGTGGTGCGCAGGCTTCTCATTGCGGTGGCTTCTCTTGTTGCGGAGCATGGGCTCTAGGCGCGCTTCAGTAGTTGTGGCTCGTGGGCTCAGTAGTTGTGGTGCATGGGCTTAGTTGCTCTGCGGCATGTGGGATCTTCCTGTACCAGGGCTTGAACCCGTGTCTCCTGTATTGGCAGGCGGATTCTTAACCACTGTGCCACCAGGGAAGCCCTTAAGTAGATTTTTGAAGAAGAAGAAAATGCAACTTGATGCTATCCCCTATTATTATTAATAAAAAGTATAGAATGTAATTAATTGCATTCTGCCTGAACTTCTAATATGCTTCTTTTTTTTTAAAGTACTGATAAAATAGTGGGAATGAAAGGACACTAAGAAATTTCTACCTCCTTTCCTTTGTTAAAAAGAACTTCTAGATTTAAAAAAATGGTTAGAGTAGCTAAGTTTCATTTAAAATGGAGATGATTTAAGCCTAAATTAATAGAAAGCTTGAGCAGGAACAGGGAATGTTGTTTTCCTGTTCCAGAAGAGAGTAAAGGAGACACTCAAAATGCAGTTACTTTTTATCTTTAAAAGGAAAAATTACCTAAAATGACGACAGGTAGAACAACAGATAAAGATTACTGAGAGGGGCTAGAACTCTTGTGGGATGAGGCGTAGAGGATGCTTAACTGCTCAGAAGTGACTTCTGTAGATTGGCTTTCTAGCGAAAGGGAAGTGAACTCTTTCTCCATCACTTTTTCAGCCTTCTAATTATACCATTTTTTGACTGTGTTTCCAGTTGCCGTTTAAATGTGTTTGTTCTTCTCTTCTCTCTTTTAGTTCTGGAAAGCTGGCTTGATTTCACAGGGGAGTTGGAGCCACCTGATCCTCTCACGAGGCTGCCCCAACTTAAACGCCACATCAAACAGCTCCTAATGGACATGGGCAAAGTACAACAAATAGCAACTCTCTGCTCTGTATGACAGCAGTGAACACCTAATGCAAAGAATGTGGCTCTGTTCAGTCGACTAATTTTTATTATCCACACGGCTGCTAAGTGGATAGTTAAAAAGCTTAGTGATGTTTGGTCATTTACTGATTTGTGACATCAATAGGATGGCACCTTGGAAAGGAAAATGAAGAACAACTTTATCAAGGAAGCTAATATTAAAAAAATTTATGAGCTAGATACAAATGATGATGTGTCATATGCCAAGGATCAGTGGAGGTAGAATATAATCTGTGCTGAGGGAATCAGATTGGCAGGATTTTTGAATAGTTGCTAACATGAAGCTCGAGATACCTGTAGAAAGAAATATGGTGTATTACATAGTTTTTAGTAGAAAGATCTATGTTTATAAACCAACATTTGGCCCAAACCAAAAGTGTAGAGGAAATTTAAATTCTGGAGAGTTCTATAAGCTTGTTGTAAGAACTGTCTTCTCTGCAGTTGATCTACCTGCACCGAAGTTTAGAGTATCGAAACTTTTATAGGATCATGAGCTGTTTCTTAGGTGATGAATGTCCTTAATCAGAAAACTGACAGTAGAAGTCTCACTTTTGAGGAAAACAGTTGTGGAATTCTTACTTCATTATGAATATATTGTAAAAACAAACAACAAAATAATTGGAGTTTATTGCTGGCATTAAGCTCACTGTAAAAAACAGAATGGCTCGCAGAAGGGTCAGTGTGCCAAATGATGATGATACTGCTGGAAAGAGAATTTTAAATCCTGTGGGAGTTCTCTCACCCAAGTCTTACATAATGCCATCAGCCCATCAGAAACGCATATATCACATATACTATATAGAGAATATATATGGTCAAATTTCAGTATTCAGGTTTCAACGTACAGTTTGATCCTGAGTATGCTTGGTATTTGCCTTCAGAAAAAAAGAAGTTGTAAATAACCTCAGCTGGGATGAGGAGTGACAAAAATATCAAAATAATTTGTGGCTGTGGATTTTTAACTGCTGGTAGTGGAATACTGGAAAAGCTTCATTTCTGAAGATGAATTTTATTTTTAAAAAATACATACGCACTCAAAACTCTTAGCTTTGATCACAAATGGACAGATTTCTGAAACCAAAGGCAACTCAGTTGCTGTGTCAGCTCTTGCTGGATTTCGAGCCCAGGCCCTCCTGTCTGCCAGTGCTCTTGTGAGTTGTGTGCTGCCCCCAGTGCTCTGCGTGCAGGTATGCGTTAAGTGTGTGTGCTTGTTTGAAACAAACACTCAACGTACATATGTACATAATCTACACATATTTATATCTACACATATCTAGTTTTATTACTATAGACTATAAGAACTGGTGGTTAACATGAAATGTTACCTTTTAACAGACTGTTTTTAAAAATTAAAAATGTATGTACAGGTTTTGAAACTTTTTTAAAAAGAGGAAAAAAGACTGTTAGGAGGCTATTTGATGACATATAACACTTGAATATTTTATGCCTCGTTCTGTTGATCAGTTCTAGCAATCTGTATAAATGCATTTTAGAACTGATGGACAGTAAACTTGAATTTATCTTTGATAAGAATACATGCCACTGTACATTCAGATATTATTTAAATTTGCAAACACACTGTTCTATATGTAAGGTACTGTATGTAAAACTCTTTATTAAAACAATTCCACATATCATAAAATTTCAGCTTGCCTTTTTGCAGCCTTATATTTTGATGTAAAGATGATTAAAAGAATGTGCAAAACAGTCATTAGACATTTTTATTGCCTTTTGACATTCTCCAACTTGACAAATGTGCCAAAGATCACAGACATAAAATACAGCCCTATGTATTACTTATGATACATTAACTTTGTCAAAAATCTTACTGAGAAATGAAAAGCTTTGGTAGAGGGATATGAGGTAGTTATTAAATTTGCATATTAAAGTAAAAATAATAGTGCCTATATTTCATGTGTGGAGTAAATTTGCTAATGTCTCTACTTCAAGTTTGATACTTTGCCTTTCATTTGTGTTTTAAAATAATGGCTCTAATCTTTTCCCTATTATGGTTAAATTCTAGACATTTAATTTATATCTTTTTTTTCAGAATGGAGCAAGTAGCATCCTTAACAGGCTGTGAATAGCGGTGTTGCCTAGATTCTTGTCACATGCACAGAGGACCCTTTGTACCCAGTGGCACTCATATTCTTAATCCCTGATGACCACAGTTAAGTTAATGTGCATTTGTTCTTGGAGTATCTTAAAATTAGATCACTTTATTTGTTAGCAGCCAGCAAACTAGAAGTTCAACTAATAATTAGAATATTGAATTTTTGCTCTGCTTTTATGCATATGAATTGGGAGTCTGAATTTTTACTTTATATTTTTAAAGTAAATCTGTATCAAATTACTTGTATGCACATACCCACTTAATATAGAGTATATCAACAATTGGTTGAAGCCTTTTAGCAACTAGCAGGCCGAGTCATTCCTTATTTAGGAAAGTGAATTCATTTTTGAGAAGTAAGTCCATTGTATGAGGTTTCAGATGAGTTTTCTTTCCAGTTAGTCTTACTTAAAAAATGTGAGTATATATATTTAAATATAAGCAATAAACTAGAGAGGGTGTTTCTTGAAAAGATAACTTTTCATTGCTACCCAGACAGAATAGACTGACATTGGTGGGGAAGGATCCTTCTTAGTATGGTACTGATAAGTATAATTTGTACTTCTTCATACTCCTGTGTGTTTCTACTGACTTATTATTTTCAAACTTAAGAGTAATGCACACTTTCCTTAAAGGAAATTGATTATTCTCATAATTTCAGGTAAAATCCTTTTTCCTGACACTCACCTTATTTCCACTGACGTCCTCTCAGATGTTCATATTCTGTGTGTTCAAAATGAAGGAGCCCATTTCCCCTCCAGCCAACTGGGTCTCCTGCCAGTTTCACTCTCTCTGCTTTAATATCACCACCCTCAGCCCCGGCTTGAAACTTGCAGTCCCTCCCCCTTATCCATTTCTTCACTAGATGTGCTGGTTCCTTAAAATGGATGGTGTCATCTTCCTCCTTCTCAATCCCACCAGTAGTACACCGTCTTTTACAAAATCATGTCATGGAGGTATTACTGTGGGCTTAAGAAATTTTAATTTTCTCTTCATTCTGATTCATCAAAATGGTCACTGTCAAGTTAGGGGATTAACATTGAGTGACTGCTCTGTGCCAGGTATTGTACATGTTACCTGCAGCATCTAATTTCGTTCTTTTGTGGAAAGGTAAGACAGGATCATTTTTAAGATGGGGAAGCTGAGGTTTAGAAACATTTAGAGACTTGTCACATATTAGTGACAGGTTCAAGACGCAAACCCCGTGCTGTTTAAACTCATGTTCTTTTCCTAGCAGGTGTGTTTCACCTATTCTTGTCATTTGTGTTTTCTGATATCATTAGTGACTCCCTATTTCAAACCAAGTCAGGTGTGTGTAATCTGGATCTTTTGTATTTTACCTAACCGATTCTCAAATCCATTTAAATATAGCCTCACTGTTTAGATAGACTATGCTTGTTTCCATCTCTTGCCTTCATATTATTTTCCTCTTCTGGACAATTCTTCTTTGTTTGTTGTGTCTCTATAAATGCAGACAGTTCTTCAGGTTTCAATTTCTCTTCCTAAGAGAAGCAGTCCATTGTTGAAGGCCTCTTATAGTATCCTGCGTTGTACTGACGTGCAGGAACCACGTCAGTGAATCATATATTTCCTGTAGTGGAGCAGGCGTGAGCTTTGCAATTCTCTCCTCAGATTTTCACTCTGGCGGTTTACCAGCAGTGATCTCTCTGAGCTTTGGTTTTCTTATGTATAAAATGGGAAGAATACTTAGGCTAGAACCTGGTTTTGCGAGTTAAATGAAGCAAATAAAGTATTTAAATTACAAAGTTGAAAATTAAATATAGGGGACACATTGAATGCCATCTGTGTGCCAGCCATTAAGTCATATGGTTGGTTATGGAGTTAATGTTAATGGAACCACAGTCTACAGGCTAACGGAAACATTAAAAAAATTTTTTTTCAACGAGATAGGTGATAGCAAAGAGTATAAGGAACCACAGAGGCAAAAGAAAGGAAAGATAACTAGACTTGTATGTAGGTGGAGAGGTTTGGGGGACATAGAATATATATGTTAATTAAAGTGGTGGTCTTTGAATGTTTTTTGACTGTGACCTCTCTGTAGGAGTTTTGAAAAATTGTAATTCATTTCTGGTACCTGGAGATCTGGAGACAAGACTTAAGTGTATTTTGTTTATTTAAGAGGAAGTTGGAGTGAGTCATCTAAGGAAGTTGGAGTGAGGAAGGGGGAAAAGTAGGGAAGGGGAGGAAAAAGCCAAGGTAAATATGCACAATTGAGAACAGTGCTATGGGCAGTGGGGCTTTGATTCTGCCATTTGAAATTGTTCATCATAAATGTAAACAGTTGCAAAGAGTGTGATTTCTAATTTATAAATATTGGCCTATTAAAATCAACCTGTTATCATTTTAAAATGTATACAATAGAATCAATACAATTTTGCTACTTACCAACATCTATTTTAAAAATACATGAGCAAGCTCTTCTTTAACATTTGAAAACTTTACAAATTTTATATTCTGTTTTCTGCCTTTCCAGTTTGCTTCCTAATAGAATGTTATCTTCTTTTATACTTACAGGCCTTTGTCATCCTCTTGTACTTTTGTCCACATACACACAGAAAAGTAAATTGCATTTTTAAAACGTATTTATAGGCTTCTTAATAGAGTATCAAAATACATGAAGCAAACACTAATATCGCTGAATAGAAAATAGAAAAATCTGCAATTATAGTTGAAGATTTTAGCCCTCCTTTAACACTAATTGATAGAACAAGTAGACAGAAAATCAGGATAGGACTTGAACAAAGATGAACACTCAACTTGACCTAATTGACATTGATAGAATGTTCCACCCAACAACGTGAGAATACAAATTTCCTCTTTAATACACATGGAACACTCAAAAAGATGGACTACATACTAGACTATAAAACAGCTCTCAACTCATTTAAAATTGAAATGCATAAAATGTTCTCCAACAATAATGGAATTAAACTGGAAATCAGTATTAGATAACTGGAAAAACCCCAAAGTGTTTGGAAATTATCACATACTTGTAAAACAATCCATGACTCAAAAAAGTTATAAGTAAAATTAGAAAATATTTTTAATTGAATGAAAATGAAAATACATCATGTTAAAATTTGTGGGATGCAGCTCAATATTAGAGGGAAATTTACAGTTTCAAATGCTTATAATAAAAAGCAAGGTACAGATTTTAACTAGACTTGTCATTTTGCAATATATACAAATATTGAATCTTATTGTACACCTGAAACTAATGTCAATTATACCTCAATTAAAAAAATAGACATTTTAAATACAAAAGGTACAAAATCACTGGTTTAAGATTAAAAAAAAACTAGAAAAACAAACAAATTAAAACCAAAATAAATGGAAAAAGAAAGAAATGTGCTGAAATCAATGAAATACTAAATGGACGAATAGTAGGGAAGCATCAATATAAATGAAAAAGCTGATTCTTTGCACAGAACGATAAAATTGGTTAACTCCTACATAGACTGATCAGAAATTAGAATGGAAGCGGGAACATTAAAACATACAGTTTTTTTTAAAGGGTATTATGAAAAACCAGTGCCAATAAGTTTAACAGCTTACATGAAACAGAGAAATTCCTCAAAAGATACAAGTTAGCAAAACTGACTCAAGAAATTAAATAAATTGAATTTGAAATTGAAAATGTTCCCTCAGAACTCCAGGCCTTGTGCTCTATAGCCTGCAAGCCACAACTACTGAGCCTGCTTGCCACAGCTACTGAAACCCATGTGCCTAGAGCCCATGCTCCGCAACAAGAGAAGCCACTGCAGTGAGAAGCCCACGCACTGCAATGAAGAGTAGCTCCTGCTCGCTGCAACTAGAAAAAGCCCGTGCCTAGCAACGAAGACCCAATGCAGCTAAAAATAAACAAATTAAAAAAAAAAAAGGACCCAATCCCTTCTTTAAAAAAAAACCCAAAAAACTCCAGGCTTAAATGTGACTTCTATCAAACATTTAAGGAAGAAAACTTGATTTTACACAAGCACTGACAGAAAATAGAGAAGAAAGGAACACTTGTTTCAAGACCAACTTTGACCTCATTCCAGAACCAGAAAAAAACACTGCAAGGAAAGGAAATTACAGACTAATACATATCCCTTTTGAACATAGACACAGTCCCCACAAAATATTAGCAATGTGAACCCAGTCATATACAATAAGGATAATATATCAAGATCAAGTTGGGTATTCCACAGGAATACCAATACAAGGAAACCAATACAAAGTTGGTTTAATGTCAGTAAAATAATGAAATTATGTTAATCTCACTAAATTAAGATAAAGGTTTTCATAAATTTCAGCATCCATTCAAGATTAAAAACTACCAGAAAAGGAATAGAAAAGAATTTGCATAACAATAGAGGGCATCTATCAAGAAACTTAAACCTCATAATGGTAAATGAATACTTTTCTCTAAAATAAGGAACAAGTCCAGAATATCCACTATCACCATTATTATCCAACATCAATCTGGAGGTCCTGCTAGTGCAATATGGCACTGGACAATAAAGGAGGAAAAATAAAAGGCATAGCACTTGGAAAGGAAGAAGAAACATTTGCAGGTGACATGCTGTGTACCTGGAG